CCCGCCATAGCTCAATACGCCGTTAGCCTCTGAGGCCGACCCGACCGCTGCGGACCTCACTCTGAATAAAAACCGCTGGCAGCCAGGAGGAGAGAGAGGTCCTCACACGGGTTAGCAGCCACAGACAGAACAGTCCTGTTAGAATTTGGCTATATTTACTCATTTTAGCATAGTATGCTATCACATGATCTATGTAAATTACTGATTTATTCTTTTAGGACTCTACTTTGTGTTAAAGTCTCTGGTTGTGTCCACAGCCTCTCTTTTCTCTCTTTTTCTCTCTCTATAGGTCAACACCATTTGTTACCACATTCCTGTCATCTGCATGAATTAGGACCTGGCCTGTTTATGCCCAGAGGTAACTGGCCAATAGGATTTCACAAAGACGAATCACGACACGATTACAGTGAATTTATCACCAACTGCTTGTAAAATGTGGCAATTGAATCTATTAAATTGTCAGAATTTGGCTATATTTACTCAATTTAGCAAAGTATGCTATCACATGATCTATGTAGATTACTGATTGTATATACTTTAGTGTTACATTCTCTGGTTGTGTCCACAGACTCTCCTTTTCTCTCTTTTTCTCTCTCTGTTGCATTAGATCCGGCTTTAGATCAACACACAAACACACACATTTGTTACCACGTTCCTGTCTTCTGCATAAATTAGGACCTGGCCTGTTCGTGCCCAGAGGTAACTGGCCAATAGGACTTGGTTGTGTCCAGTCCTCCTTTGAGGAGGCGGATGGAGCCCAGGAGATAATGCCCATCACCCAGATCTCAGGGCTCTTTGCCCCATTACCCTATTTGTTCATTGCTTAATTAACCTCTTTCCAAAGCACTTGAACAAGGACAGAAGAAGAAATCCTTGTTCGAGCTCGTTCGTTCGTTGCACCTTGTTTGTCTATCCTCTCTACATATCTCTACACATCTAACACACATTCCTCTCTTCCCTCCAATATCAGCATTTAGGTGAGAGAAAGTCAGCATATTCTTTCAAATTCTTCTTTCCCAAAGATCCCCTTAAATGACCCAACAATGTAACTCAAACAGAACAAAAGAAAGGTACGACTCGGGCTATTCAAAATCCCAGGAGACCTGCGTTTCCCTGCTGGTATCGGTCTTTGTAAGCTTCATTTCTGTAACTTTTTTCTCCCTTCAGACTGTTTAAAGTTGAGCTCACTCTCACAACCTTTCAGGGGTGAATAAGAGAACATTGAATTCTTTTCACAGCATCAACTAATAAGATTCTTTGCCAGGTTTTCTAATACGACAATGGCCTCTCCCTTACCTTTGGAGGTGGATAACAGATGTGGACACATCAGGATATAGATAGATAGATAGATAGATAGATAGATAGATAGATAGATAGATA